GGGGGGGGGGGTCTGCCGGCCATATGACTGCACGGGGAGGGTGTGCCCGTACTCACCTGGCCCCACAGCAATTCTCCAAAACCAATGAAGAGACACCAGAACCACTGGGACAGGGTGAGGTTCGTACAGCTGAAGGGTTTCCCCCCAAATTCCACAATGATAATCTAGAACAGAAAAAGAGGCAGCCCATCATTGAGAGGTAACAGGTAGCCAGCTCTCCAGTCAAGGCCATCAAAGCCACATCAGCCCCCTACCCCAGGATCCCTGTGGTGTAAACACTGATCTGCTTGTTGGGGAAGGAGAAAGAAGAGATCCAGGTGGGGAGAAGGGAAGACAGACACAGTCTTTATAGAGCACTCTGATGGGGAGACAGATACAGCTACTATGAACATTATTAATGCAAAGGCTGTGGGATCAAGGGGAGCCGGAGGCTTCTTGTGACTAAAGCCAGTAGGTGACAAAGAGAAGGCACAGTGATGGAGAAGAGGAATTTAGGAGCGGGGCAAATAAGAGTGAGGCAGGAGCTCTTTTGTTACAGGGCAGGTTCATAATCTCTTGTATTGGCAGATGTCTTAGTGTACCTCTGACTGGGGCAAGAAGGAAGGGGCTCAATCCTTTCACCACCAGGGCAGCCATGCCCTTGACCCCAATTCCCACAGAAGAAGCCCACGTCAGGCTTATCTGTCAACTACATATGGCAACATTCCATGTCTTCTCGTTTTCTCTGAATTAAGTACCACTTTCTACCATGAGCCCTTTCTGAACAAAGGGGCACGGAGGGACAGGGAGAGATCCCATGTAGCACTTGCATGCACATTTCAAGTATGCTGGCAGGAGGCATGGAAAGGGGGTTAGAAGACAGTGATCTTCCTCCTGGTCACTATGTGAAATTGCTGTGTTTTAGAAAAATAAGGAAAGGATTCCACAAATTTTATTTTATTCGCTACCAACATGCTGCCTTGCACTGGAGCACTTGACACAGCAGGATCCAATTCTAGAGCAATGAGCAAACGGAAGCATTTGGGAACCCCAAAGTGTTCAACCCACAGCCTGAGTCCCCATCACTCCCTCACTCCTTTCCCCGGGCGCTCAGGGAATCCTGGCCCCCAGCTCCTGGCCTTTATCGTCCCAGACCTCCTATCCCAACTCCAGGTAGAATCCCACCTGGCTGACGAATGTGCCCAAGACCACAGAGCAGAAGATGAGGTTGCGGAAGATGCCTGAAAAGACATTCCTCTCTCCATGGATCTTGCGGGAGTTGATTTCATTGAAGAGCTGCATCAGCACGAAGGTGTTGAAAATAATGGTGTAGTGCTGGCTGGGTGGTGAATGCAGAGGTGCTCTCCTCCCACTATCAATGTCAAAGAACTTCTCACCTAGTTGGGAGAAGGGATGCATCGGAGGATAAGTATGCTCTCAAGGAGGGTTCAGGTTGAGTCAGAACACTTGAGTATGGCCTCATTGGTTGCTTATGACTGGTGTCCATTCTAACTGGTCAGTATCTGAATCACAACAGTCATCAAATATTTTCAGTGTTAGCTCTGGTCTCAACATTTCTTTTTTTTTAAAATAAATTTTATTTATTTATTTATTTTTGGCTGTGTCGTGCCTGGGCCTTCTCTAGTTGCGTTGAGCTGGGGCTACGCTTCGTTGTGGTCTGTGGGCTTCTCATTGTGGTGGCTTCTCTAGTTGCGGAGCACACGCTCTAGGCACGCGGGCTTCAGTAGTTGTAGCGCACGGGCTCAGTAGTTGTGGCTCACGGGCTAAGAGCACAGGCTCAGTAGTTGTGGCACATGGGCTTAGTTGTTCTGTGGCATGTGGGATCTTCCCGGACCAGGGCTCGAACCCGTGTCCCCTGAATTGGCAGGGGGGGTCTTTAACAACGTGCCCCCCCGGGAGCCCCCCCCCCCCTTTTTTTTTTTTTTTTTGTCTGTGCCATGTAACATGTGGGATCCTAGTTCCCTGACCAGGGATTGAACCCGTGCCCCCTGTATTAGAAGGCAGATTCTTACCCACTGGACAACCAGGGAAGTCCCTCAACATTTCTGACCCTCTATCTCAGCTTGCTCCTTCACTATTTGCCTTCTCGTAGTACCGCATTGCGATAGAACTATGTGCACGAGAGTCTGGCAGGCATAGGTCTGAATCTTCGTGCCACTATTTACTCAATATGTGACTTAAGCTTCAGTTTTATGATCTAAAAAAAAGGTAACATAAAGCCACCCTTTGGAGATTCTTTTATCATCTTTATTGGAGTATAATTGCTTTACAATGGTGTGTTAGTTACTGCTTTATAACAAAGTGAATCAGTTATACATATACATATGTTCCCATATCTCTTCCCTCTTGCATCTCCCTCCCTCCCACACTCCCTATCCCACCCCTCTAGGTGGTCACAAAGCACCGAGCTGCTCTCCCTGTGCTATGTGGCTGCTTCCCACTAGCTATCTATTTTACATTTGGGAGCGTATATATGTCCATGCCACTCTCGCTTTGTTACAGCTTACCCTTCCCCCTCCCCATATCCTCAAGTCCATTCTCTAGTAGGTCTGCATCTTTATTCCTGTGTTACCCGTTCTTCATGACATTTTTTTTTCTTAGATTCCATATATATGTGTTAGCATAGGGTATTTGTCTTTCTCTTTCTGACTTATTTCACTCTGTATGACAGACTCTAGGTCCATCCTCCTCACTACAAATAACTCACTTTCATTTCTTTTTACGGAGATTCTTTTTTTTTTTTTTTTTTTTGGTACGCGGGCCTCTCCCTGTTGTGGCCTCTCCCCCCGCGGGGCACAGGCTCCGGACGCGCAGGCCCAGCGGCCATGGCTCACGCGGCACGTGGGATCCTCCCAGGGACTCTCAACCACTGCGCCACCAGGGAAGCCCTACGGAGATTCTTAGAAGGAGTAATAAAATGGCACAATGCACCACGTAGTGGGAACAGAGGATGCACTCAGTAAGCGAAGCTGCTATAATTCCCGTCTTGTGCTCAGCTTGCTCCCTGCTACTTTCTTTCCTTGGGCTGCTCTCTGCCCCCATCTCCCTTTAGCACTCCAAGCGCCGCCACCCACCCCCGCCTTGGCTCACCGGCAAAGACAAGGAAAAAGATGACAGTGAGCTGATAGACGGCGTGACCCAAGATGTTCTTCATCATAGTGCGTGAGATCAGAGGCTTATTTCGGCCATAAGGGCGACGCTTCAACAGAGAGTCTGTAGGAGGCTCTGTGGCCAGGGCCAATGAGGCAAAAGTGTCCATGATGAGATTAACCCACAACATCTGCACGGCTTTCAGTGGGGAATCCTGGTGGGAAGAAGAACCCACTCCTTTTAGCTTTCCTTGGAGACCACCCCCCACCTCACTCATCAGCCTCATCTTTGCCCTTGAAATGGCCTACCTCCTGCTATCCACCATTTATTAGCTGAGTGACATTGAGAAACTTATTTAACCTCTTTGAGCCTTGGGTTCTTCACCTGTAAAATGGGGATAATACCTACTTTGCAAGGCTGTTTTTGAAGAACAGAGAAACTACATATAAGTGCTCATCACACTGGCTAACGTGTGTTACATTAATGGTAGATAAATTATCATCATCCCACATGAGCAGATGGAGACCTAGTAGAGCTATTCCTGCCCCAACACCCCTTTGGAAACTCTGGTCCTTACTCCTCAGTCGACATACTGTACCCTGCACCCCCTGTTCCTTAGCCCCAGCCTCATCCCTCCCATCTCAGTTCACCCCACATTCCCTTCACCTGGGTGATACAGGCTCCAGTGAAGGCCACAATCACAGCCACCACGTTGACAGTGAGCTGGAACTGTAGGAACTTGGAAATGCTATCGTAGACGTTTCGTCCCCACATCACTGCCTTCACGATGCTGGTGAAGTTGTCATCTGTTAGGATGATGTCAGAGGCCTCCTTTGCCACATCCGTGCCTGCAATACCCTGATGTAAGAAGGGGAAGGAAAACGGTGAGGAACTGGACAAAATTCATGCACATTCTGAACTCATATCTTGACCTCCAAGAAGCTTCAGAACAGCATAAACACTAGAGGGCACACTAGCCACACAAATCCTACAGACTAAACCACCGTATTTTGAGCGGTCTTCTCTCCCAAAGAAAATGAAGGGAAAATGTGTCACTGTCACTCTGTGGGAAAGGGGACTGGGCCATGATGCCACCACCTTACTCCTGAACTCAGACTGGAAATTACAGTTATCTCTGATATTCCTTTCTCCCATCCCTCCTACTTCCCCATCTTAGAAAATAATTAGAAGATAGATAAAAAGTCCTATCTGTTCTACCTCTAAATTTTAAAATTTCTTTTGCCACTGCCAATATCTAATTTAAATCCTTATCTCTCCCGCACCTTGAAGTTACTCTACATTTTTTCCCAGGAGGAGTAGTCTGGCAGTACAGTTCAGATGTCCTGTCCTTATTCAAAAATCCTGTCACTGGGGAACCACCAAAGGTTTCTAAATAGACAGATCAGTGGTTGAAAGCAGTGTTTTAGAAACAGTAAACTTTCTAGTCTGGTAGTCAAAGCCCTCAACAAGTGAACTCTGGTTCATTTTCCAACCTGCTATATCTTTCTGCTCAAAACCTACTGTTTTATTCACAATTCCCTGAATCTCTCATTCACTTCTAGAGTCCAGTCTTCTACTTACACCCTTTTCTCCAAGCCTGGAACATCCTCTTTCCCCATCTATTTAAATCCTATCTGTCCTTAAGGTTCCATTCAATTAATTAAGCCCTGCTTGCTTGGCAAAGCTGTCCCTTACATCCCCAGCCTATTCTTCTATTCCATGTCTTACAACCCCTATAACCTACAGAGGGGCTTGTCTGTGAATCTGACCTGCACTAGTAGATTATTTGTACCATTTACCTGGCAGTATTATTCTCCTATCCAGATTGCAACAAATGGATATCTGTTAGATAGACTATACAATTAAATTTCCCCATCAAAAAGTTCTCTAACACATCCACACAATGCTGTACCATGTACTATAAAGAGAAAGGACGGAAAGAAAGAAAGAAAAAAAGAAAGAAAGAAAGAGTATCTTTATATATGTACTCCTGCAGAATAATCTCTAAGTTAGGTTGTTAAATTAAAAGAAGCAAGGTGGGAAAAAGAGTATATAGTGTGTATATAGATAAATATAGATAAGTATCACTTATCTAAGAGAGTGGGATATAAATATACTACACATTTGATTGTATTTTAAAGGAGCAAACAGAAAGATAAACCAAAAATCAAAGAAGTAAGTTATCTGTGGGATTAAGAAGGAGGCAACAGGGTGGAGGTGATAGGGATAGAAGCTAGACTTCTATGAATAGACCTTGTTGGTATATTTTACTTTAGAATTATGTAACTACTTTATACAAGTATAAAACAAAATTAAGTTTAAAATAAGCAATCTCAAAAATGGAAGAAAAAAACCCCCATGATATAAATGAACTGGTATAACCAGTTGGTAGCACAACCATACCAAGGGAAAAGTTCCAAATGACTTTTTGAAAAACACAGTAACTTGATGTTAGGATATAGTAGGATATACCTACAGGATAAAAAGAACTACAAGAAAAATCTTTAACTGTTTTTAGTAGAGTAATTGTACTATTATTGCTATTTTGAGACTATTACATATATTTTAGGATAAAGGAAATAATAATTATGTTAATGCTGTTAGGAATCAAACTTTTCAGCTTAAGCAATAAATATAAAATCAGGGAAGTAAAATAAGAAGTTAGAGTTCTAGAATTCTAAATTTGAATTGGAAATGCCAATATGAATTCACCAAGTATTTATCTTTAAAACAAAGAAGCACAAAACCAAAAAGAGACATAAAAGACATATTTCCTAGCTTTGTCCACTGAAAAGTTCTAGAAACAATAATTTACTAAGAAGTAAGGAACATCCTGACATTCAGATTGTGTTCTCTAAATATCATTTCTCACTGAAATGAAGCAGAACTCCTTTGAGAAGTGGATGATTCTAGATCTAGGACAAGAAATATGCATGATGAATCTGGAACATCTTATCATGCAAGAGACCAAGAAAGCTATTAAAGACAACTGAGGTTGTACCCAAAGGACTTAGCAGTGTTGAACAGGCTCATGATGGGTCAGTATAAACATCAGAATAATCATAAGGGCAATGGATCAAAACAGATCACATATACTTAAAACCATGAGCTCATAATGATATTTTAAAAAAACAGACAATTAACTTTTAGTAGAGTAGCTTAGTAAATTTTAAAAAGTGAACAATTCATTGGTCACCTTTGGAGGATCCTAAAAAGTCAACTCATTATTTTGAAAGCTGGTAAATAAAGGGGAAAAAAACCAAGCATTTAACCTGTCTTTCATGTAGGAGGTGAACCTCACAGTAACCAAATAGTCGACAAGGGCAAATTTCTTTTTACAGAAGTATTCAAGTTAATAAATAAAGAAAATCAGAACATTGTCATTTTGCAACCCCTAATGAAAGATGGGATGTAGAATCTGATTGCTCATAGAACTAATTGCTAGTTTATAGGAAATACAAGGGCTGAAAGAACAGGTTAAAGGACACTATAGGGATACAATCAACAAAATCCCTGCCATGGGATATTCTATGTAGAAAAACAACCTTATTCCTTCAAAACTAAGTAGCTAGAAAAAAAGATGGAAAGGGATTGTGCAGAAAAGAGTTACATAGCAGGCCTGAGACTGCTTTCTTGAGAAAGTTCTGTTTGCAAGGTTGGCCCTTGGCTAGCACCTGGAAACTTGGCTCTCAGTCAACACTTAACTGAAAATTAATCAGTGATTCACTGTGCCTAGACTGTGCCCAAACATATGGTTTCCACTGAAAACCTGCTTCCTTCTGGAAGTCTGGAATCTTAGCACGTGCTAGGCAGAAGGTGCCTATACGACCAACCCCAGTAAAAACCTACGACACCTAGTCTCTGGTGGGTTTCTCTGGGCAGAAACATCACATGTATTGCTGCATTTTCATTGCTGGGGGAAGAAGGTGCTCTCTGTGACCCCTCATGGGAGGAAGAGATCATAAGGAACCCTGCATGTGGATTCCAGACTCTACCTGTGACTTTCTGCCTTACTAGATTCTTGCTATACCAATGGACTAAATCTGAACCATGAGTACAACTGTATGCTGAGTCCCCTGAGTCCTTCCAGTGAATGCACAAATATAAAGTGTGGTCTTGGGGACCCCTGACACACAGATCCTATAGGGTCAGTGGCTGCCGAACTTTAGGATGTGTCAGAATCACCCAGAGGGACTGTTAAAACATGGACTGCTGGGCCCCAACTCCAAGCTTTCTGATTCAGTAGATCTGGGGTGAGGCTTGAGAATCTGCATTTCTATAGGTTTCCAGGTAGAGCTGGAAGGAAGAGCACACTTCAGGAATACTGTTATAGATTAATAGATTCAAGAGATATATCAACCAATTGCAATGTATGGATCTTGTTTGCATTCTGATTTAGAAAAATAATCTATAAAAACAACATTTATGAAGCATTTGGGGAAATGTGAACACTGACTAGATATCTAATGATAGTAAAGAATCAATTTTGTTGTGAGACAATGGTACTATGATTCTTTTAGATATTTTATTGATACATATATACTTTCCAGAGACACATACTGGATGAAATGACATAATATCTTGGATATGCTTCAGAGTAATTCAGGTGTAGATGGGGAAATGTGTATGTGTGGGCCAAGATTGGCCAGGTGTTGATATTTGATGCTGGGTGACAGACACATGAGGATTCAATAAACTATTCTAATTTTGTATATTTTTGAAATTTCCTAGAGTAAAAACTCTTTTAAGTTTATCTTTTGGTTAAAGAGAGTACCCTAAAGACAGATTTCTCCTTGAATCTTCTTCCACTGCTTAAAAATCACCAACAGTTCAATGTGTATGGGAAGCTTACAATCCTAAGTTACTTGAGTGCGAGAATGTACATTGCAATCCAGGGACTTCTAAATGTCCCTGAGCATTAGAATCAATAAGTGTACCTGTTCAGAAAATCCAAACACTTCTGGGACCCAGCTCAGATGCTACTGAATCAAGAGCCGACAGTGGAACCTTGGAATATATGATTTTAAATGAACTGTCCAAGTGACTGATGCTCCGGGCCTCACAAGTGAAAAGCAGAGTGATGAAGAGCGCTAACTGTACAGTGCACATTTTCCATATAGAATGTGAATTTTCTATAGTGTGCCTAGGCAGACAATATCATCATGTTCGTGGGCAAGTTTCAGTTGGTCTTGCTTTGCTGGGTAACAATACCTCATGATTTCCCTGCCTTCATACTTGATGGGTCCCTCATTATACATATTATTAATGGCCAGGTAGGTAGGCGAGATGGAGTTAGAGAAAGAGTACAAAGGGGGATGTGAAGGTACGGGAAGCAGCAGGTTACCAGAAGCCTGTCCTGGCTTCCCACTGGAGGAGGCAGCTTGCAGCAGAGAGACACACTACGCTGAGCTGCTTACCATGGCAAAACCAACATCTGCTTTCTTCAGAGCTGGCCCATCATTTGTGCCATCCCCAGTGACAGCCACCACCTGCCGCTGTTCCCCAACAGTGCTGTCGATGATGCCTGGGAAAAACAGACACACTACAGTGAGTTCCACATGTGCCATCTGAGGCCATTTCCCCATGAAAGGCAGTTTTTTGGTCTTCCTCTCCAGTCTCTGCCACCACCTCCCTTTCTACGCTCTTTCCTTCTTTTTTTCCCAATGCTAGAGGTTCTACAGTGTCACCTGATGGCAGTAAATTGTTTCACGGGTAGCACTCTAAGCTAAGAAAGTCTGACCTTGTCGAATATCCTGTCCGGTGCCCCAAGGCAGCTATTATGTGGTAGAAAAAGCACTGGATGATTTGAAGGCAGAGACCCAGGGATTGAATGGTAACACTTCCACTTACCAGTTGGGCAATTTGGATAGGTTACTTGTTGTCTCAGCCTCAAACTTCCTTATTTGCAAAATGGGACTAGCTTAGCCTGTACTGTCTAATTCAGAGTACTATCAACAAACAAGATAGGATAATGTTTAAAAACAACTTTATTATATTATATATCTTATACTCACCAGGGCCTCAGATGTTTGCTAGACTGTATGTTCTTCCCATGAGCGGGGAAGCTCTTCTAGGACCTCCCTACTCAGGACAGGAGAGTTGCTTTGGTTGATGGCTTTGATCTGTGCTCATCCCCGCCTGCTTTCCTCTATCCTAGGTACCTACTCAGGAACCAACCTCACCTTTCACCAGTGTGTGCTTGTCAGTGGGGGAAGATCGCGCCAGCACCCGGAGCTTAGGCCAGATCTTGTCCAGCTTTTCTTGCTCTACCTGCCAACACCAGACCACACCTGGGTCAGTCAAGCTCAGAACAGCCATCTGGGAAAATCTTACTTCTTTACCCACGCTGAGCTTCTGGGAGAGCTGGTATTCCATGGCCCCCGAGGGAGTGTTATCCTGGCCTCCAGTGGAGGTGAAGCAGCCAACTCAGGCTCCAGGGCAGATTCATGGATGGTGACCATTCAGGGCCTGCTTGTCTTCTTTTTCCTGCCAATTCCCTACCTGGGAGCCAATTCCATATTTCTTTTTTTTTTTTTTGCGGTACGCGGGCCTCTCACTGTTGTGGCCTCTCCCGTTGCGG